TGAAGTTTCCTGCTGGTAAACCATGAGATATTTGACTTTGCTCTATGAATTGGAGCATTAACTTGCTGGAAAATAAAAATGATGTTGCCAAACTTTTGCGAAATATTATTCAAATGACCATTTAACAAATTTCTATATGCTTCAGCATTTAATTTAGTATTAATAAAGCCAATCGATGTTTTTCCAAAATAACCGAACGTACCCCAAATCATCACTCCTCCACCTCCCATAGCCCTTTTTATTGAAATATTTTCTCTTTTCTAATGTCTTTTTTAATATTTTTTTCATCGGATCACACAATTTTTTGTTATTCTTTTTCCAAGACATGTGGTCCTTGGTTCATTGAAAAAAATGCGTTGGTTCACTTCAGTTGGTGCTGGTGATGTGCGTTTTTTTGCATATCTAAGAAAGCATGACTTGTTAATTACACAATTAAAAAATCAGCATCTATATTCTATATGACTCGCGAAGATTGTAAGGTTACAAGTGGTATGTACAATTAGTCGCTGTTGGCAAGCTGTAAGTATAGGTTTTCTACTAGTTCGATGCTTCGTCCAATAATTTGTTGGATCATTTACAAAACTATTGATCAAACGTGGTGAGCGTCTCAGTTTGCAAGCAGTTGCCCTGTTTGATAAACGAAATGACATTTAGGCTTTGATCTTGCCTTTTTCCTCATCGGAGAGTGTAATTCCGCTTGGCATTCGTTAGGATGTATTTTATAATTTTAAAATGTAATAAATTTAATTTGAAAACGAAATTTATTACTATTTTTTGATGGCTTTTAATGCAATTAGGATAACGAGGTTATAATTGTTTTAAACGGTTTTATAATTTGAGTTTATTAAAGCGTAAATAAATTCAAGTAAACTATTTTGTTTATTTCAAAAAATGATCTACAAATAAAATTTGATCAACAAACTTTGAAAGATAGTTTTAAGGTTTCTACAAAAGATAGTTTTAAGGTTTCTACACAGCTAAAGTTATAATTCTGCACTCCACTATAAAATACATTTCATAATTACAAAGGTTACACTTTTTGTGGATAGTTTATAAGATTGGCATCTTTTAATTATGTTCTACTTGATTATAGGCATGTTACCTGCATCTTTATGCTTATAATATGATAATAATTAACTATATTGTAAAGTTATAATTTTTTTAAAGTAAAGTTTTACGTAATTTTTAAAATATAGCTGATTCTAAGCTTATTTACTTTTTGTTTAAATCATAAACTTATTTCTAAATGTTTATAAAGTTCATTGATTTTTACTCGTAAATTGTTATTTACTCGTTAAATAATCTTTGCATTAAATAACTTTTTTAAAAAAATTACTTATATAAATTTCATGAAAAAACAGCCATCTCTTAACTTGATTAGTTTTTCACTGCCAATTGCAAATTATCCAAAAAATTTTATGATTTATTGGTTCATTCTAAAAATTATTCACAATTAGAACGTTAAGTTTCGGGAATAATTAACTTTATAAATTATTTAGCCTTATAGCTTGCTAATTATTTATTATTATTTTTTTTCAATTATATTTTTATTTCTTTATTTATCCAGATTTCTTGGGAAAATTCTGCATCATTTCTGTGCTTAAAGGACTTAAGATGGTTCGCCACTTGGGTATATTATAAGTTATACTATAAATATTTACTTCGTAACATAACCATTACATTAATAAAAATGTTTACAATTGAGAAAATTAAATTTTTAAATTTGGTGGAGTAATTTTTACGTTAAATTTTAATAAAAAGTTTAATTTTTTTTTATTTTTTAAAATTTTACGAATATTTTTTGAATTATTTAATTGACGATCCTTGTCAAAGCAAAAAATTAAACTACAAATTTTCTGTACTTACAGCTTAAACTTTGTTTTATTGTACTTGCTCACGTACACACGGGACTTCAAAAAACCCCACAGAAAAAATTCTGGAACTGTGAAAATTGGACAATCTTGCGGGTCAGTGCAAATCGCTAAAATGAGAAATGAGGCGACCAGTCTTAATTCGTTCAATTTTGGCAGAAAAAACCCGGTTAACATGGCCCTATAGCGCGCACCGTACAGTGTTGTCGTTTGACCAGCGGCGTCCTTGAAAATAATGGCTCGATGACTTCTTCAGCGTAAACAGCGCACCATGCAGTCACTTTCAGCGGGTGTAATGGCTCCTCCTGCATCACTCGAGGATTTTCGGTACCCCAGAAGTGATAGTTTTGCTTGTTCACGTAACTGCTGAGGTTGAAAGGAGCCTCATTGCTCATTATGATTTTGGTCAAAAAATCGTCCATTTCATGCTCGAGATTGAGGATGACTTGGGCGTAGTTTACATGCTTTTGGCGGTTGACAGGCAGCAACTGATGCACGGACTGGACTTTCTACGGGAACATGTGCAGGTCTTTCATCAAAATTCGCCTTAGGGACGACCGGCTGATGGCTAATTGCAAGGCACGCCGTCTGGTAAATGTTTCTGGCGACAGCATGACATCCTCAGCAAC